AGATTGAAGCTTTACCGCTTTATGAACGCGCGCTGAAGATTTACGAGGACAGCTTTGGTCGCATGCATCCTCGCGTGGGGGAGACTCTGAAGAACTTGGCTGTGCTGAGGTAAGCGAATACGCTTCAGCCCTAGAGAAGCGATTTTCTGGAAAAAAAAAACGCCAGGTGAAAGAAAATGCGCTGGACGTGCGTACTCGGGAGGAAGGGGGAGCGCCTTACGTACGCCCTGTCGATAGCACGGCCTGCATTGCAGTCCAGATTAATTAACCGACTTGTTTCACTTTTGTTTTACTCTTTCCGAAGCTACGAAGGGGGAGACTTTGAGAAGGCAGCCGAACTTTACAAGAGAGCCATGGAAATAAAAGAAGCAGAGACTTTGCTGATGGGCGGAAAAGCAACTTCTCGGCACTCGTCGAGCGGGGATACATTCAGCTTAAAAAGTGCGTTGTTGCCAAACGTCTTCCTGGAGCCTGGACAAAGGTGACAGAAACCTGCTGAGAGGCAAGTCAGTCTCTGCTGCTGTTTTAAAGCAGACGTAGCACGTAGGTGAATCTATTTTCCCTCGGAAAACATACCCTTTTGGGACTGACACCTGTCTTCATGAATGACAGGGAAACAAATGTTTAAGCTTGAAATCCTTCCGTGTTAACTTTGCAGACGGTACAAAGCGAGCTGCTTCCAGTGTCTGCAGAGACACGTCTTAGTTTCCAGCTGTAGTTACAACCGACTCCCAACCCGTGTGGGTTTGACACCTCGTAGCCTGAGCGCCAGGACTGTAATGGGTTGAGCCAACTGTGCGTGTGTATCTATACACACTCCCTGGGGTAGTTCTCTCTGTGTTGTTACAGCCTGGCTTAGAGGATTTGTGTGGGTTTGTTTCATCACTCCCTTCTGCCTTTTCAGAAGCTTTTAAAGTCTGAAGAGACAGGAATTTTGGAAAGAATCAAAATATGCTTCCACCCAGAGCTTTACCTGCAGGGCGTCCGCAGGTTCAAGCGAACTCAGATTCCAGGGACTTGTGCAGAAGTAACTGGCCTCCCTGGGAGGCTGATACAGCTAGAAGTACCCTCACCGACACTTGAAGCTGTTGGTTGGTAAGAATACTTCGGTGAGGAATCGGAACGAAGGTGATCGTGACCCGATTGCCTGTTGTTAACCCTTTGGCAATGCTTCTGCTATTTAGTCTCACTCGGTCCCTTAATAGACAAGAATGTTTGTGTTGGCTGGAAAAACCCAACAATGGAAAAAAGTCTGCCATCCGATAAAGTGATGCCAATCATACACCTACCTGCTCTATTCCTCAACAGCCGAGGCATCTGGCAGAACCAATCAGAAGTCTGTTCTCGTTTGGGCGTAAAGCCATGAATCCATTTAAATACACGCCAACAAAAGACTTTGTAAAAAGGAATGTACATGAAAAACTGATTGAAACTGTACTGCCCTATTTCAGAGGCATCTGATGTGGAGATTTATTTGATCCCGTTTGAAATGTAAATGGTTTCTACCTCAAAGGGGTACTTGCCTTCCACAGTCGCTAATCCCAGTTACCTATAACCCCTTCTGGCCCTTGCGCTGGCTAGAGGGAATTTACTGTCTTGGTAGGACTGTGATTCGGCCAAAGAAACTGTAAATAAAAGCGACAGAACAAATACACAACCCAAACTTTTAACATTTAGTGGAAGAAAAAATCAAAACCAGCTCTTGGAGGTGGCAGCAGCGAGTTGACCCTTCGCAATAGCTCTCTGGATATTTTCCTCTTGGGACAGAAAAGGGGGTTTTCACCAAGGCAGCAGTTTTCCCACTGTACTCCAGCCACCTTGGAAAGTTTTGAGAACTGGGAGGTTTCTTTGCAGTATCACTGCTGCCTAAGGAGAGGGGTGAGAGGACCAAAGAAACCCCTGAAACTTCAACCTTCTTCTGTGTTTCGGCTACCTGCTGTTCTCAGGCCAGGCAGTTCCCCCCCTGAAGCCCCTGTTATGAAGTAGCAGGTATCTGGTGTAGCTTGTCACCTGTCCCAGTTTTACCAGGTATAAGGATGCATCTTGTTCTCCTGAACAGTTTTGCTAGATGTTGCTGGCTTAAATAAGCAGCTACTTCCTAGACCTTCAGCACTGTTATCAGCCTTTTCCCATTTAGTGACTTCCAGTTCTGAACTGTTCTTCCCTTGAGCCACTCCTCTCTGAGTTATTCACAGGTTGCAGGGTTGTTTTGGGAAGGATAAAAACCCCGCAGTCCCAAAACACTGCTACTGGACCATGGGTGGTTGGGATCTGCTAAGAGGGTGAGGAACCCACACGCTTACTCTGTCTGCCCAAAGAGAACTGGCTGC